TGATTGTTTTGCATCTTTTGATACCTGATACCAGATCCCGTGGACACCTTATGAGCACACAAGTGGGTGTGCTTCTTCCATGTGGTCTCATTTGCTTCCTTATTGGATGGCTGCTTGTTTAATTTCAAGCCTTTAAGACCCCATACATTATATCCTTTGATAGCCGGATACCATCTGCTTACATCGCCACATTTGCTTATGCACCCATTTGGTCTTTAGCAATCATGTTGGGAAGGTGAGTATCAAAGACTGCCAAGATATTAGAACAAAGTGTTCTTATGTTGAGGGAGATCTTGAGTAGAGGTCCAAAGTCTGCCGGCTATCTTAATACTTAACATATAAATATATATATATTGGCCTCTATCTCTTTCATTATAGATTGGTATATTCCATATATATATGCCTACAGCTAAACCTCTAAAAATAGCTTTTACCTCTTATTCCTTTCCACTATTTCCTTTCACCTTCCTCCTATCCCACTATCATGCTCATCATCCATTCAGTTCTCAGTAATTCCTCTTGGATACATTGCACTTGATTAAATCCCACCAGACATTCTACACCCTCCTCACCATCAGTTTTAGATCTCTTGTTCTCTTATGCCTGAGTTTGTTGGCTCCCCACTCCCCCTCCCTACGCCCTCCTCTCCTATGTCCCCTGGAACCTCCGGTCCAATTGTTTTTTCTGCAGACTTGTTCATCCTGCCTATCTTATGTAGATAGACACAGGGCACAGGAAAAACAAACAAACGTAAAAAAGAAAATAAGAAAAAAAATAGATAGTTCCAGGTCTGTCTGCTGGCCCTTATATATGATTTCCGATCGAGTCTGGTGAGGTGCAAAGCCTGCAACTGAAGTTAGAAGTCTATTTTCAGGACTCCTCAGGGACTTGTTTACTTTGTTTCCCTTGTTGCCCTGTTGCACTCCCTTTGCATTTCACCCTGCTGTACATGGGGCAGACCAGGCACACTTTCCACACAATGTCTCCAGTGCTGTCCCCAGTAGCACTATGGGTCAGTGAAGGAATGTTCTGTTGTGCTGGGGCCAGCCCTATGATCCTCTCTGTGCACTGGCTGCTCTGAGCCAGGATGTCATCTCCCTGCCTTGGTGGGCCATGATGAGGTGTTCGCTCCACTTCCTCTATCTCTCCCTCCTACCTCCCTCTGAGTTCACTCTCTTGTGGCCTGTGGTCTGGACAGACCTGCCCCTCTCCCCAGGAAATATGTAAAGTCTTACATTCTTAATATTTGTTTCACTCTACTATCATGTCTTTAGTTTCTGATAAAATGATCAGATACAGACACTTTGCTAGATTAAACTGAGGGTAGCCACACAAACTGGAAGGTAGCAACAATCACTAAGCTGGTCAATATTGCAAAGACAAGTAAATTGCCAGATAATACATATTGAAATTCTTTTTTTTCATCAATTTTTATTATCATTCATAAATTTCATACAAAAAAGGAGGTAGCAAAGACATGAGGGTCATCTGAGGGAGACTCTCCGACTTTGGACAGGCCAGTCTGTTCACATCGGCTCTCCCATCAGGCGCAGCAGCTGCACTTGTCCGATGTCCCTTTGCAGATGCATCCCTGGGCACACTTGGCACAGCCCACAGGGCAGCAGGAGCAGCAGCTCTTTTTGCAGGACTTGCATCTGCAGTCTTTGCACTTGCAGGAGTCAGAGCAGCCCCAGGAGCCACCAGCTGTGCCGGAGCAGTTGGGGTCCATTTGGAGTGAGACGAGACTGGCGGTCCCACAGCAAGTGTGAAAGCAAATGCTAGCAGATGGAAGGCTTCCATATTGAAATTCTTAAAGTCAGGATTCCCCTCTGTCTTAGCCACAGATACTCACAGTCATACTACATTCTTTATCTGCAGAAAACTACCAAAAAGTAAATGACTAATTGACAGGTTCAGGAGGTTGAATATGACCAAAAACCAACAGTGTTGAAAGAAGAAGTTCAAACTGCACTTGAGGCACTAGCCAAAGGTAAGGCTTTGGGAATTGATGAAATACTAATTGAAATGTTTCAACAAGCTAATGAACCACTGGAAGCACTCAAAGGAAGCCCCCTTGTATTCAGCATATAATATTGTTGAGCACACTTCACCATCCTCCAAATTAAAATCAAACTCACTGCCATCAAGTCACTGCCAGATCATGGCGCCCCCGTCATTTAGGACAGGGAAGAACTGCCCCTGTGAGCTTCTCAGACTGCCCCGTCTTTCAAGCATGAAGCAGCAGTGGTGCTAAAAATTTAGAAGACAGTTACTTGGCCAACTGCCTAGAAGAAATCCATATTTGTGTCCATTCCAAAGAAAGGTGACCCAACAGAATGCTCCAACTATGGAGCCATGTCATTGAAAGCACACACAAGTAAACTGTGCTTAAGATCATCCAACACAAGTTGCCACAGTGCAGTGGCAGAGAACGGCCAGAAGTTCAGGCTGACTCAGAAGAAGGGGTGGGAAATGTAATATCATTGCTCCTGTCAGACGGATCTTGGCCCAACCCAGAGAATACCAGAAAGATGCTTGTGCTTCATTGACTATGCAAAGGCATTTGACTATGTGTACCATAACACACTGTATGTAACCTTGAAAACAATTTTAATTTCATAACACTTCATTGTGCTCATGAGGAACTTGTATATGGATCAGGAGAGTATGTGGGAACAGAACAAGGAGATACTGCATGGTTTAAATTCAGGACAGTTGTACATCAGGGTTATATCCTCTCACCGTACTCATTCCATCTCTATTATGAGCAAATCACCAGAGAAGCAGGATTTTATGATGAAACACTTGGCATCAGGATTGTAGGAAAGCTTAGTAGCTGCCTGCAGTGTGAAGATGACACAACTTTGTTCACTGACAGTGAGGAGGAATTGTAGCCTTTGCTGATGAAGAACAAGGGTTGTAGCCTTTAGTATTTATTACAACTCAATGTAAGGAAGACCCAGATCCTCACAACTGGACCAAGAGGTAAATTATAAATGGAGAAATGTTTGACATTGCCAAGGATTTTGTCTTGCTTGGATCCACAATGAATGCTCATGGAAGCAACAATCACGAGATCAAAAAAAAAAAAGTATTGAATTAAGTAAATCTGCTGCACAAGACCTCTTTACAGTATTGAATACCAAGAGTGTTAATTTGAGGTCTAAGGTGCATCTAACCCAAGTAAAGGTATTCTCCATTGCAGCATATGCATATGGAATTAGACAATGAATAAGGAAAACTAAAGAAGAATGGGTGCATTTGGATGGTGGTGCTGGAGAAGAATATTGAAAGTACCGTGGAATGCTGAAATGACACAAATGGATCTGTATTGGAAGAAGTAAAGCAAACATGCACCTTAGAGGTAAGAACGGGAAGAATTTGTCTTACATATATAATGACATGCTGTCAGGAGAGACCAGTCCCCAAGGAAGGACACCATGTTTACTAAAGTAGAACGAAAGCCAACAAGAGGAAGGCTTACAACAACATTGATTGACACAGTGGCTGCATCCATGACTCAAACATATGAACAATCAAACAATTGTGAGCATGGTGCAGGACCTGGCGGTGTTTTGTTCTATTCTGTTGTGCACAGGGCCAATCTGGGTTGCAGCCAACTTGATGGCACTTCATAACAACAAAAACAATTGGCAGTTTGACTGAATTTATGAATAAGAATTTTCTAGAAGGAGTTGCTATTATATACAGTGTAGGCTCCTCAACCATATGTTACTCTGATTACCTAGGAATAAAGGAAGAGGTAAAACATTAGCACTTAAAAATTAATCCTGCTCACTCCATTTTATAAATGGAAATATATCATCTTTCATATTTTGGCAAAAGATTATGACAAAATCAAAGAAATACTTCTAGAGTTATGAAATGTAGTTGTTGTTGTTGGGTGCCATCAAGTCAGCTCCAACCCATAGCGTCCCTGTGCACAACACAACAAAACACTGCCTGGTCCTGTATCATCCTCACAAGCGTTCCTATGCCTGAGCCCATTGATGCAGCCGCTGTGTCCATCCATCTCATTGAGGGGCTTCCTGTTTTTCACCGCCCCACCACTTGTCTATCAGATTGACGTGCTGCGGTAGCGTATGTGTTCCTGTGATGCTGGAAGCTATGTCACTGGAATTTCAAATGCCAATAGAGTCATCCAAAATGAACAGGTTTCAGGGGAGCTTTCAGGTAAGAACAGACAATGAAGAAAGAGTGGCTCCCCACTTCGGAGGAAGAAACTGGTGAAAACTATATAATAGCTTGAAAGCATTGTCAAATACTGATTTATGAGATGGAAGATAATATATTGCCATCATCTTATAAAATAAGTAACTATATTAATTATTTTTGTTATTCAATACTTTTATGAACTTTATTTTGTTGTTCAATATAGCAATTTGTGACTCAGAAAATATATGTCCCATTGCATACTGCATGCAAGAAAATTCCCCTAACTTTATCTTAACCTATTGGTTGACATTCTGGGAGCTCTTCTGGCTAAGTAGTTACACATCGGGGTGTGATATGCACCTCGGCCATTTCAACCCCTCCATGTGGCCTTTATGAGAAGGACCAGATTTTCTGCTCCTGTGGACAGTGACAGTCCAGAAATTCAAAGTGGCAGCTCTCCCCTCCCTGGACTGTCACCATGGAGTCAGCATCGAACAGATGTCATTATTTAATGACTTTATATCAATAAAGCATATAAGCTTGCACTTCTTAAAATCATGCAGCTAATTGACATTTTAACAATTTTAATTGCATTATCAATACTCCCTCAA